GGGTGGGGGGGGGGGGGGGGGGTTGCCTGCGTTTCCCCTCCAAAGATGTAGATGTAAAAGCCCAAGACTGCGGTTAAAGGGGGGTTTTTGCCTGCGTTTTCCCCCCGCCAAAGTCATGAAAGGAAGTAAGAGTCTAAGTTGTAAGACCGGTTTTGTTTTTGCCTGCGTTTCCCCCCGAAGTTGTGAGGTTAAGCAAGAGCCAAGTTGTAAGACCGTTGAGACCTGAGCTGTGAGAAGTGAGATTAAGCAAGAATCTAAGTTGTAAAAAGTTGTAATTAGTGTAAGAGCTGTTGTAAGCTGAGAGCCTGGGCCGTAGGAGCTAAGATCGCGAGTCGTAAGGGTGTAAGTGGTGTAAGAGTGTGAAAGTTTGAGTCAAACAAGAAATGTTTGCAGACTGATGACGGGCCGAGGATGACGCGACAGGCCGGCTTGTGCCGAACCCTGCCAGATTTTCGTTCCTACTCAACCAGTCCTTGCTCTCTTGACGTGGTCGTCTGCGCTCTGTTCTCCTCGTAGCGCCCGACTTCCTGGCTAGTCGTTCATCCTTTGCATTAGGGTCAAGGCCTTCGCAATGTCTTCATCCGATGGTGCCACGGAGGCAGCGTCCGTCTCCGTATTAGATCGTGTGCAGTCATTCGTGTCTGAACACAAGCAGGCTTTGCTTCTCGGAGCCGCTGTCGTCGTTGCTGCTGGCGGCGTTGCCTATTATGCCGCATCATCCTCGTCGTCGTCCAGTCCGCCTCCAAGTGAGGCAGGTGACCTTGAGAGCGGTAAGAAAAAGAAGAAACGCGCGGCTCGCAAAAAGAAGGCTGGCAAGGGAGCAGATGATGGTCCATTAATAGAAGAAGTGGGGCCACAGACTGTTGACGACTGTACGTGCTGCAAATCATACCGTCCAGCTATTGTCTTGTTTACACTTACCATTCCTCTTATTAGTGCTTGCATCCAGTGTTGGCGCGGAGAAGAAATCCGTAGATGTGTGTATTGGCTCGTTTCTACACCTTTGTATCTTTGCACTGACGTAGCACAGGAACGGAACAAGCTCGCGTCAGAGCTCAAATTGAGAGGAAACAAGGCATACCAGGAGCGGAGCTTTACAGATGCCGTAAAATGCTACACCCGGGCCATCGAGGTAGCTTCAGAGCCAGATCCCGTCTTCTATAGCAATCGCGCGGCATGTGCGTAATCTCATAAACAAGGTAGCTGTGTAACCGTTAAGCTTACTCGATTAATAGGTTACATGTACTATCCTACTCCCGAGTACGAGAAAGCTGTTGAGGATTGCACTGAAGCACTCCGTATCAATCCGAAACATGAACGATCTGTCGGGCGTCGAGCCACAGCACTCGAGAAGCTTGGACGATACGAGGAAGCTCTGAGAGGTACGTTACTAGATGCGAATTTCCACTAACGTACTAACTACTTGAGAAAGACTTTACTGCCATTACCCTGCTAACTAGATTCTCCGACCCGAAACTTGCGGAAGCGGTTGAGCGGGTGCTGAAGCTTTTGACCGAGCCGAAAGCACGCGATATCATGTCGGTGAGTTTCAGAACACTACGAACGTCCAATTCTGCAAACCGACTTGAATATACTGGTAGAAACGCGAATCTCATCTGCCTCCACACACCTTCGTCGATGCTTACTTCGGCGCTTTCCGTTCACGTAAGGCTCTCTTGAACGTCTTTTTATCAGCGCATACTCAATTTAAATTAACTCAGGACCTATACCGGACCTTCCCGAGAACCCGTCGACAGGGGACAACACGCTCAAGCTCTCACTTGAGGCACTCGCCGCTCACGACTATACACATGCTTTAACACTTGTGAACGAAGCAATTGAGCAGGGCATTTCTTTCGATGCAGGTCGTGCTCATGCACTTAACTTGCGTGGCTCTTTCCGCTTCCTCATGGGTGATTCGCAGGGTGCGAAGGACGACCTAGAAGCCGCCATCGCGGCTCAACCAGAATTCACGCAGAGCTTGGTGAAGATTGCAAGCGTGCATATGGAGCAGAGTAAACCCGAAGATACGTTTGCTGCCTTTGAGCAGGCGATTAAACATGATCCGAAAGACCCGGATATTTACTACCACCGTGGACAGGTCCTCTTCATCATGCAGGAATTTACGCAGGCAGCGGAGAATTATCGCAAATCCTTCGAGCTTGACCCGACATTTGTCTTCAGTCATATTCAACTGGCGGTTGCTCAGTACAAGGCAGATCAGCTCTCTGAGGCGATGGTGACATTCCGAAAGGCACTTAAAGCGTTCCCGCAAAGGAGCGAACCCTACAATTACTAGTAAGTCGTCCACAGTTCCACCTTCAGAATTTAAGTTTGATGCGAATTTCTCCAGTGGCGAACTTCTACTGGATCAAAAACGCTTCGAAGACGCAATCGAGAAATTCGACCGTGCCATTGAGATCGAGAAGGCAAAGAACCCTCCAATCAACGTTCTGGCAATGGTTAACAAGGGTTTGGCGCTTTTCCAATGGAAGAACGACCTTGCAGGTGCTGAGAAAATCATAAAAGAGGCACTTGAAGCAGACCCAGAGTGCGAGGCTGCTGTTGCAACACTCGCGCAAATTAGTTTGCAGAGGGGTGAAGTCGAACAGGCGATGAAGTATTTTGAACGGCAGGTTGACCTTGCGAGGACTGAGGCGGATGTCATGAATGCTTTGCAGTTTATGCATGTGCGTAATTGCTTATTTTATGAGCGGAAGACACTGACTGATTATCTAACTTGCGCGTGGGTTTTTAGGCCGCGAAAGCGCAAAACGAATTTTCGCGTAATTATCCGGACATTGCGGAGATGTTCCGTTATGCGGAAAGTCAACAAAATGCAGCACTTGCTGCTGGTGCTCCGCCTGCGTTTTTGTAAAGGGCACTCAAACAAATAACGATCATCCTGAATAGTTATTTTATATGAACTGAAAAACCGTAGACCTCCTGCCTTTGGTAGTGCAGCAGACTCCATTCCTTCCTTCCCTTTACTTACCCATACCTATGCCTATTCACATAGCTTTCCCTCCCTAAAATGCAATCGACAACACCACATTCAAGCATCTTTAATTGATTACACTTTTCATAATACATGTTTTTTAAACTTTTTATGAGTTTGTAATTCCAGCTTTCCCTACTCAATTGCTGTGTTTGTCTCCATTGATTTGTTGTGCCATCAGCTGTAGCACTTCAGGTTGGTTGGTTTAACCAGGAGAGTCAACTTTCTATTAACACGAGTATTGAGCTTGTAACACAGTTGTAAAGAAGTTTTGTTGTCTAGCACAATGTAGATTGTGTGTTCAGCAATAACTGTTTGTTCCTAAGTACATTGTGTTTTGTATTACACAAGATATGAAACATTATGTATTAACTAATGTCTCAATAAGACCTTATACAGAATATGTATTAAGGGTCACAGAGAAGGGTCTTGACTTATATTCTGGAACTGGTGACTGGCTACAGGAGCTGAGATCATAATACTACACATACACTTAATACAAATATAGTTAGGGTGGCCTATGTATCTCTAATATTTTTACAAGAGTGTATTGTTTTGTGTTTCAAAATAGACTATTAAAGTAATACTCTAGCTCAGTATTAGAGAAGATACAGTCTTAGCTCTTGTCAGCAACAGCATAGGGGGGACCTAAAGGCTCAGCAAGGGGACCCAGGCTACAACTATCCTACACAACAGAAATACAGAATGCAAGCACTGGAATGTAGTCAGAACTTGCAGAACAGGCAGAGAGAGAGAGTGAGACAAGAGTAGAGTATATAGAGTGAGCCTAAGAGTACAGGACTACCTGGAGTAGACAAGATCAAGACTACAGGACCAGTCTGATCTTGTACACCTATATATACTAAACTACACAAGAGCACTCAGGGAGCATGAGCCACTAAGAATGATAAGCACAAAGAATGAAAGAAAGGAATGTCAAAGATAAAGGTACAAAGAATGAAGGGATGGACAAAGGGTAAGAGACCATAGAATGAACAGAGAATGAAGGAGTGGTCAAAGGAATGGAATGATGAAGTAAGGAAGGGTAGTAGTAAGAGTCAGCACACATATAGTCCATAGACAGCACCCCTGAGGGACAGAAGTCCTGAGTTCTGGTACAGAAGGGTGCAGAACCCTTGGAACTGAAGGTAAGAGAGCAGAGGATTGTAACAGCTCTGTTAAATGATAGAGTTACTAGAGTCTGAAATAGTCTACAGATTCTTTTTTGAAACTATGTTTCCCTCTTACAATAATACTACTATATAAAGCTTTGTTATTTTAACTCAGATACTTGACACTATAGAAACAGATTTTAACTAGAATGTACTACTCTACTCCTCAGATAATGTAAAAGTACAGTTTATATTATGTTTATAATACATTTATATTTATTTATAAGACTTTACTGTAAAGACAATTAAGTACAAACTATAAAATTCTATTATCTTAATTTATTTTACAGTAAGCTTGTTAAGATTATTCTAATAAATAAGCTAATTGTTAACTTCTGAGTTTAAGACTGTATTATTAGATTGTTAAGAGAAGTTTGTAATATAATAAGTACACAAATATATAAGTAAGTTTATTAGTTCTTAAAAACATTTTGTAATAGTATTTACTCTAAATATTAGCTTTAGACAAAGTCTTTTAAGATAGAAAGTATATAATATTATTTGAATGTGTATTAATATTAAATCTAAATACACTTTCTTTATAATTATACATTATAATTCTTAAACATTTATACTTATTATAAACTAAATTTTAAACTAAACAGTATACTAAACTAGTGTCTTATATAGTAAGTAGTTTACTATTATTTATTATAATAACTATAGTATAATTTAACTATAAGTTTAATAAATATTATTCTTATAAATTGTAAGTATTTTTTTTAATAAAATAAATAACATATTATATACTTATAACTACTTTATAAATATTCTTTAAGTTTATATATTAGTTTTATACTATTACTGTTGTTTTTATAAATATTGTTACACACACAATTTGTGATTTTTGTCATACTAAGTATACTCAAATACAAAATCTATTATAACTCAACTAATACTTAACCAAATTATATAATCTAAATTGTAAAAATTATACTTTTAAATTGTCTTTCATATTCTAGAAAAAATAAAGTAAAATGAGCAAAATTTGAGTAAGATACAACACAATATGTGAGTTTTCCCTATATTTTATATATATAAGTTTTCCTAGCCCTAAAACTGATTGTACAACACTATAAACTGGTCTAAATGAAGAATATAACTTTATTGTTAATTTACATATTGAATCCTAACTAGGATACAGAATATACATATAAGTATAATACATATTTAAGTTTGCTAAAATTGAGTATTTTCCCTCAACCTCTCTACACTCAGAGAAAGTTCTTCTGAGTATTATTCATGTTTGTAAATTCATTCCAAATAAATTAGACTAGTTTCAAACAGTTTTAATAGACTTAGTATGGATTTCTAGTTTAAATAAAGTAGAAAGTCATTATTCTATATACTACTTTTGTAAAATATACTTACTTTACTAGTCCTAATCTTTAGGAATAGTAACAGAATAGAGTATAAAGGGTAAGACTTGTAGACTTGTAGAGTGAGAGGGTAGAGGAGTCCTGCTTTAGTTAAGCTACAAGTGTAGCCTAGTAGGTTAGTAGTAGAGTACTTTCAAGTACTAGGTAACTTAAGTTGATAAAACTATCTTTTGAGAGCTAAACTAGCCTCCTTATATACTTTTTACTAGAGTAATGTTACTCTAGTAACTTTAGTAACTCTCTTTACTGTTGTTCTCATAAAGTAGAGCTGGTTAATCCTTTAGACTGTATACTATACTAGTTTGTGTCTTCTATTAATCTACTAACACTAGTTTGTGTCTTCTTATATTCTAGATTAATCTTCTAATGACTCCTTTACTGTATTGTTATATCTTCTATACTTCCTCTCATACTTCTAATGACTTCTTATGAGTCCTCCTAACTAGTTATACTGTGTAAGCTGTATAATACTTTTCTTATAAAGTAGAGCTCTCTATTGTTCTATAGTCTTCTTATAACTCTGTCTGACTCAACCTATACTTTCTATACACTAGTTTGTAATACACTTTCTTATAAGGTAGAGTATTATGACTTCTAATGACTTCTTATGACTCTTGTAATATAAAAGGCTGTACTTTTGTACTGCCCCTAAAACTTACAACCAAAGTTCTAAACTGTCTTGTGTACACTCTAAAACTGACAACTAATGTTTTAGATCTTTCCCTAAGTCTTCTTTAATAGACTTAGTTTAGGAGACAATTATTCTTATTAACTTCTAACCTTATCTTTTATACTTCTGTATTTAATTATAGAACTTACAACCAAAGTTCTAGATTGTCTTATGTATTCCTTATGTTGTCCTCATATAGTTCTTATGTTTATAACTTTATTACTTTCCTATCTATATAGGCAAAGTGTATAAAGGAGACTACTTTCCTATAGTCTTTCCTTAGAGCTTGTTAGGAATTGTAAAATACAGTAACTAAGTTTGGAAAAGCTTAACTCAAGACTTAGGACTAAGTAGTTTATATACAAAACTCTATTAGTTACAAGTCTAAAGATTAGCTAGATCAACTAGGCTACCTTTGTTGTCCTACTTAGTAAGAACTCTAGCTCAGTATTATTAACCTCTAATTATTACTAATAGGTAATCAATCTATTAGTAGAGAGAGGGGACAGGAAGGAGTAAGTACTAAGTCAGTTAGGAAAAGGTAACAAAACCTAAGAACAAGGTCTTTATCTCTCTAAGGTTAAACACATACTCTAGCACAGTATTACTTGATAACCTTAACTAAAGACAAGTCATTTAGAATGCTTGTATAGAGAGGGGATCTAGAAAGAGTATAGTGTCTAGAGTAAGAAGTATAAAGGAAAAGACTAGGAGAAAACCTGAAGAGATAAAAGGAAAATATTATACTTACTAAGGGAGAAACTACATAGCTAGCTAGGAATACTTTGTATAAAGACAAAGGACCATTAAAGCTAGTAAAGAGTCAGAGCTAATACTCTAAAGCTCTATACTTGAGGAGGACTAGTACTAGTAAAGGAAAGGGAACTGAGAGCTCTAAGGAGAGACTATAGGAAAGTAGTCTCCTTTATACACTTTGCCCATATAGATGGGAAAGTAATAAAGTCATAAACATAAGGACTATATGAGGACAACATAAGGAATACATGAGACAATCTAGAACTTTGGTTGTAAGTTCTATGATTGAATACAGAAGTATAAAGATAAGGCTAGAAGTTAATAAGGATAATTGTCTCCTAAACTAAGTTTATTAAAGAAGACTTAGGGAAAGATCTAGAACATTAGTTGTTAGTTCTAGAGTGTACATAAGACAGTCTAGAACTTTGGTTGTAAGTTCTAAGGGTAGTATAGAAGCACAGCCTTTTATATTACAGAAGTTATAAGGAGTCATTAGAAGTTATAATACTCTACCTTATAAGAAAGTGTATTACAAACTAGTGTACAGGAAGTACAGGTTGAGTCAGACAGAGTCATAAGAACAATAGAGAGCTCTACTTTATAGGAAAAGCATTACACAGCTTACACAGTATAACTAGTTAGGAGGACTTATAAGGAGTTATTAGAAGTATGAGAGGAAGTATAGAAGACATTACAATACAGTAAAGGAGTCATTAGAAGATTAATCTAGAATACAAGAAGACATAAACTAGTGTTAGCAGATTAATAGAAGACACAAACTAGTATAGTATACAGTCTAAAGGATTAGCTAGCTCTACTTTATAGGAACAACAGTAAAGGGAGTTACTAAAGTTACTAGAGTAACATTACTCTAGCAAAAGGTATATAAGGAGACTAGTTTGGCTCTCAAAAGATAGTTTTATCAACTTAAGTTACCTAGTACTTAGAAGTACTCTACTACTAACCTACTAGGCTATACTTGCAGCTTAACTAAAGTAGGACTCCTCTACCCTCTCACTATATAAGTCTACAAGTCTTACCCTCTATACTCTATTCTGTTACTATTCCTAAGGATTAGGACTAGTAAAGTGAGTATATCTAACACTTTAATAAAACTCCAACTTAGTTACAAATCTTTACTATTCTAGTAAAGCTCTAGTCTACTAAGGGGAACTTAAACCTGGAGCTAGCACACAGGTACATTAACTCTAATACTTACTTTATAATATTAACTAACCTTAATAATTAACATTCAAA